TTTTTTGGTTTTTCGAGACAGGGTTTCTCTGTGTAGCTTTGCGCCTTTCCTGGAACTCGCTTTGGAGACCAGGCTGGCCTCGAACTCACAGAGATCCGCCTGGCTCTGCCTCCCGAGTGCTGGGATTAAAGGCGTGCGCCACCACCGCCCGGCTCCCACCCCCCTTTTTAAGATGGTGTCTTAATGTGTTTCCCACCTGGTCTCAAACTTTCGAGCTGAATAGTACACTTGTCTCAGCCTCTGACGTGGCTACAAGTTCATACCACCATGCCCCACTTCACTCGACCAAACTAGAGCTGAGTTCTGTTGAGACAGGGTCTTGATGTGTGCCCAGGCTGGCCTGAAATTCTCAATCCTCCTGCCTCTACCTCTCCAGAGCTGGGATTATCATCTGTCACCATGCCAGACTGCTAACTGATCTGTGTATAAAACATTTGTGACTGCCCAAATTCAAGAAATCACCCTGATTCTGATGGGAAATGAAGAAGTACCTATTAAAATTGGACCAGAAAATGGTCCAGGCCTCCAGCTCAGCCGGCTCCCTCTTATTCAGAGTGGACACCAGAGCCCGTAGGTGGGGTCAGCTGAACTGGTTGTCACATGCCGAGCTGTAAATCACCTGGTTCCGGACTGTTTGCTTTCTCCCACTTCTACTCTTTTAAGAAGTACTTCCCAGCAGTAGAGGCTGCAGGAAGAGCAGAGTACTTAGCTTGTTTTTCTGGGGCCCTATTGTTGAGACACAGGGTCTGATGTAACCCAGGCTGGCCTCAAACTGGCTATATAACTAAAGGTGATCTTAAACTTCTGATCCTCCTGCCTCATCTTCCCGCGTTCTGGAATGAGGATGGTGTTTGTGCTGGTGTGCCCAGTTTTAAGTGGTGCTGGGGAATCAAACCAAGGGCGTCAGGCATGCTAGGCAAGCATTCTCCCAGCTGAGCTACAGCCCCAGCCCCAGCTGGTGTGCTCTATTGAGCCATATTTTCAGTTTATTAAGTATATAGCAAGCCAGAGAGAGACAGGCAGACAAGATAAGATAATCAAAAGGGGTTATTAAGGCAGCTAGCTGGTTCACCATGGAGAGTCTGGATCAGGGTCCTCTCTGGTGCTGCGTCCAAGTAAAAGAACAAAGAGCAGAGAGACACATTGGATACTCACACTGTTGGGCAGAAACTGGGGAAGTTGAGACGTCAGTTTGAGTTCAGCTGAGCTTTCTCTTCTCCATGGCTGGCTTCCTGTTTCTCTTCCCTACTGCAGCCACTTAGACACCATGGGGTAGACAGTGTGACCTGCAGATGTTCACAGCCCAGCTGTTCCAAGGACACAGTATTCTTACTCTTGAGCTGCTTTTTGTTCTTCTCCCTCCATGTCGTACAGTTTAGTGGGGGGCTCCTCATCCCCAGACCTGGAGAACATATATTCTTGGATCTGAAATGGTATGGGGTTGGGACACCATGTTTCCTGAGCTAGAGTCTCCGTGGGTTCAAACGGCATGTGACAATTTACCAATACGGTGTACATTACAGTTGGCTTGTTATACTTGAAATGGAGCCCAAGACTTGTGTGCTGGGCAAGTGTATGGCTGAGTTCTCCCAGCCGCATGGAGGATGGGTTTCTACTTAGTGTGTCCTCTTGCAGAGGCAGGTTTTGTAGTGAACCATGGAGCCTCTGCTTCAGAGTCAATGAGAAAATGATCTGGTAGTTACATCTTGTAAGTCCCTGATTTCCAGGGAAGTGTGTGGAGCAGACATCTAATACTAAGGTTGCAGTGTCCAAATCACTGAGACTAGGCTGGGTGGTGGTGGTGCACGCTTTTAATCCCAGCACTTGGGAGACAGGCAGGTGGATCTCTGTGAGTTCCAGGACAGCCAAGGCTACACAGAGAAACCCTGTCTCGAAAATCAAAAAAAAAAAAAAAAGAGAGAAAGAAGAAAGTGAGACTAGTCACCTCCACCCCTTGACTGGGTTTTAGCAGGGCAGCTGTCTACATTTCTTTGTCAGCCTGGCCAGCATCCTGACAGGACTGTTTCTCTGGTCATGAGCTCCTTTCTGCTCAGCTCTTCCATTTTTCCACTTTTGCTGTGCACTCTGGTGGCCCTTGGTACAAACGAGTACTGAGTTCTTCAGATGTGGCCAGTCTCACTTGAGAGAAGAGGTAGATGTTCAAAATGACCCCATATAGTGGTGGCTACCATTAAAAAAAACATAAAATACCTCATCAGTACATTTTAGTACTGATTATAGATTGATATGGTACAGTTTTAAGTATGCTATGTCAAAAAAAATACCAAATTTGCCATTTTCAATTTTATGTACATGAGTGTTTTGTTTGTATGTATACCATGTGCGTTCCTGGTGCTTGCAGAGGTCAAAAGAGGGAATAGGACCTCCTGAAACTCCATGGTTGTAAACCACAATGTGGGTGCTGGGGTCCTCCACAAGAGCAATTTTTCTCTTCCTCCATCTCCTCCCTTTTATTTTTACTTACTGTAACTACTAGAAAATTTAAAATCGCTTTTGCATCCTGCCTCCTGTTTCTGTGACCAGCTAGCTCTGATTCTTGAGCGAGTCAGTCAAGGGGGGGTCTGTGTGTTAGGTTGTGTAGTCTGTGCTGAAGCTTGCCACCAGGTTGTGATTACATTTGTCCAGTTACCCAACTAACTGGGTCTTGTGATTTGTTTTGCTAGTGATGATGGCCAAAGAGAAGCCACCTATAACAGTGGTCGGGGACGTCGGAGGACGCATTGCAATCATAGTGGTATGGGGACGCGTCATCATCATTTCATGCACAGGGGTGACACTGGTGGCTTAGTCAGTGTGGGTCTCAGCGTGATGGTGGGTTCCACTGGACCCATCTGCCCTTCTTACTCAAGTCTCCTTTAAGAGAGTAATAGAACTTTTATATAAATGAATGGGAATTGATGGATAGCCGGCAAACTTTTTAGTACCAGTACCTCCCCCAGGAAAATTGAGCACCATGACCTTCATCTTAGGGGTTCTGGATCCCCTCAGACCAGCTCACTTGATGATCCTTACATTTCAGGGCCATGAGATAAACTGAAGACGAGCCTTTCCAATTGTCCCAGCGCAGCTTAGCTTTGTGTTGGCGTGCTGGCCGCTCTCACTAGATCAGGGTCACATCGTCAGCAGATCCCTTAGTCCTCTCTTCCTTTCATGTCACCCTCTCTTGGGACAAAGTAAGCAGCGTGCTGGCTCTGGAGTGAGTCAGGAGTCTGAGGGAGGGAAGCTCCTCTGACTGTCATCGTGACAGCTTGAGCTGCCATGTCACACACACCCGGGTACCAGGAGCCTCACTGCTCTGCTGACACTCAGCCCACAGAGGTGTCTCTCTTGCTGACCCGGGATGCTCAGATCTTGGCCCAGGCATGTGTAGTGCAGCTTGGGTAGAGAGTGACCGAGACTGCCTCTCCCCTTGCAGGATGACATTATTGACGACGTGGAGAGTTTCGTAGCTGCTGCAGAGATCCTGAAAGAGAGGGGTGCTTATAAGATCTATGTCATGGCCACACACGGAATCCTGTCTGCTGAAGCCCCTCGTCTGATTGAGGAGTCTTCCATTGATGAGGTTTGTCTGCTTTAAAGGGCTTAGAACATTCAGTTTGAGTCCAGGTTGCCACTAGTTTCTGGAAATAATAAAGTGATTCGGCGTTAAGTTGCCTCGTCTCTGGCTAGGGTGTGTATCTGTTTAACAGTACTTTTTTTTAGCAGCTTTGTTCGGGCAGATGGACGTTCAGGAATTGGGATTTGCATAAAGGATTGTTTAGATCTTCCTGTTGACAGTAGAGTGACATTTGATACTTGAAATCTTCCCTGGTGGTAGTTAAGTTTCGAATGGGACTGGACATTGTTAGGACTTAAGTTCTGAGCCAGTGGATGCTCAGTTTCTAAAATCTATACGTTGGCCAGATGTGATTTTTATGCTTGTAATCCCAGCCCTTGAGAGATGAGTTATAGTAAAGCTCTAATTGGGGTTACCTATCAAGACCCTTCCTCAAAGTCAAAACCAAGATTGGGCTATCGTTCAGTGGAGCACACTCACCTGGCATGTGTGAAGTGTTCAGCTCCCATTGTCACTAAAGAAACCCTCTAGAATAAACGGTTTGTTTTGGAGCTTGAGCTGGGGGAATTAAATTAAATGTTAGATATGCTTTGCTTTGTAGCTACTCCCTGACACACACAGTGACTGTGTGCTCTCTGTGGCTTGGTTACTAGGTGGTGGTGACGAACACTGTCCCTCACGAGCTCCAGAAACTGCAGTGTCCCAAGATAAAGACTGTGGACATCAGCTTGATTCTTTCTGAGGCAATTCGGAGAATCCACAATGGCGAGTCCATGGCTTACCTCTTCCGGAACATCACAGTGGATGACTAACTTGGAGCTGCCTTGACCCTGGACCCTCCACATCAGTGTGTCAGCCTGGAAATAGGCTGCAGTTAGGAAGTCTACAAGGCTGGTGAGGAGGAGGCACTAAGATAGGCAAGAAGACAGCTAGTGGATAAATGACATGGCCTTCACTGTCTGCCATCATCAACCCTGTTCCTTAATCCTGAGCAGATATTGAAAATCTTACTGAGGTGGAAGAGAAACCAAAGGCAGAGTCTCCATGGCTTGTTTTGTTCAACAGTATCTGCTCTGGGGAAGGCAAGTGGGGTGTTGAACTTGGTCAGGGAGCCGAGTGTCCTCTCCCTGGACAGGGTTCTAGTAAGTCTTCTAGAGAATCCCTTTCCTTTCAGAAACCCCTGTGCCTACTGCCATTGAACAGTGAAGTGTCTGTCTGCTCTCACTGAGCTAGTCAGAGAAGCACTGTCCCTCAGCAACTATGTTGCTCGGAAGTTGCAAATAAAAGCTTCTTGTCTCTCTGGTGTCTTGTCTACTGTGGGGCTCCCTGCTCCCCCCTAGATTGTGACAAACCCTCTCTGCACTATGCAGGTACAAAACAGGGTGGTCAGGGTCCACGGCTGAAATGAACCACATATAGGTCTCGCTCAGGCTCCACCCCTTCCTAAGCACTAGGAGGAAACGTCTCCTCCATGCTAGGCAAGTGTTCTGTCTGCAGCCCTGAAGAGATGGATGAGCAGCTGTTGGCTGCATTGCCTAAGAGTTCCCTCACCATCCCAGTCCCAGTCCACCCCTCGTCGGCAGGCTTCTGCAAAAACAGCTGAGCTTCTGTCTTCAAGCTGCTCCAGTTCAGAGCCGGGCAGCATGGAGAGGAGGGCATCTCAGGAAAGGAAGTGGACCTGCTTATGGGCTCTGCGAGACAGGAAGGAGTCTTACTTGTACAATTGTATTTCACTACAGGGAAGTTCCCTCCCCTCTTTTATCCCTGAGGAAGGCTCCCAACCTACAATTAGGACTTTGTGCACATTGGTCTTTTCAAGCACACAAACAAGTTACCTTCTGTTAATGATCCATGTACGGAAAATTGAGCAAAGAACTCAGCCATTAAGATAATTAGCTTGGTTGTAGAGGAAGAGCTGTGACCTAGTAAACAGAAGAGAAAAAGCACGGGGCTGGGGGGGGGGGGGGGTTCCTGGAGTCCGGTGCTCTGCTCTCTAAGACACAACCAGATGCTTGCCCTTCGTCCTGGCTGACTGGCTGACTGGCCTCTGAGTTCCAAGCACACTTGGTTTTGTGGGGGTCTTGAGGATTTGGCTTGGGTTCTCATGCTGGCATTGCAAATGCTTTTAACCCCTGAGCCGCCTCCCCAGCTTCTTGGGGCTTTCTCCGTGTAGCCCTGGCTGTCCTGCATCTCACCCTGTAAACCAGGCTGGCCTTGAACTTGGATATCCACCTGCTTCTGCCTCCTGAGTGCTAAAATTAAAGACGTGTGCCATGAGGCTCGTTCTTAACTAGTCAAGGTAGACAGATAACTAGTCTCTGCTAGGTCTATCTGCAGTTGCGTGCTAGGGAGTTAATTCAGTAGAGTGCTTGCCTCCCAAGCAGGAGGACTGAGTACCATCACTGGCACCTCCATAGAAGGCAGGACATGCGAGCACATGCATCAGGGAGGCAGAGACCGCCTGGAGCTTGTTGGCAGCCAGCCTTGCTTCATTGGCACGCTGCAGGTCCTGTGACATCATCTTAAAAAGCAAGGTGGGTGGCGGCTGCGCTGCGGGACACAGGACTGACCTTGATCTACACGTGCAAAAGTAACACAGGACTGACCTCTGGGCTACACGTGCAAAAGTAGATGAAAACGCAGGTCCTCAACCAAAAAAAAAAAGCCGGGCGGTGGTGGCGCACACCTTTAATCCCAGCACTCGGGAGGCTGAGGCAGGCGGATCTCTGAGTTCAAGGCCAGCCTGGTCTCCAAAGTGAGTTCCAGGAAAGGCGCAAAGCTACACAGAGAAACCCTGTCTCAAAAAACAAACAAACAAAAAAAAAAAGCGCAGGTCCTCAATTCCAAAATTACATTTATATTTCCAGTTAATATTTTCATTTACCCCGGTTTAAAAAATAAGTATTTTAAGATGTACGAAGCATTAGTAGAACAGACTGTCCTGGGTTAGAAAATGCCACCTGCCTGTTGTTTTTGTGATCCCTGATGTGTTTGATGAGGGTAGCTGCGGGCCAGTGAGTACTTGTCTAGCATGTTCCAGCCCTCAGATTTGATGATGCTCAGTGCCAGCAAAAAGTCAAAGATGCTAAGCCTCAGAGATGTGAAAAATGCACCCATGAAGCCTGAGGGAGCTGACTACTTCATCATAGGGTCATAACTGTGGCCGCTAACATTCTGCAAAGATTAAACTTGAAGGGAACTGGACATGACTCAGCAGTTAAGAGTGCTTACTGTTTCTCCACAGGTGTGGTTCCTAGCACCTGCATGGTAGTTATCTGTAACTAGTTCTAGGGGTCCAGGGCGCCCTCTGGCTTCTGTGGGCACCAGGCACAACACTCACAATAAATCTTTTTTCAAAATGAAGCCTAAGCCAGGTAGTGGTGGTGCACGACTTGAATCCCAGCACTCGGGAGACAGAGGCAGGCAGAACTCTTGAGTTTGAGGCCATCCTGGTCTACAGAATGAGTTCTAAGACAGCTGTGTCTACAGAGAAACCCTGTCTCAAAACAAAAAATAAAGTAAGCAAACCTTTCTTATACACTCCAGGGTCACCTGCCCAGGGATGGCACCACCCGCTATTGGCAGTGGTTATCAACCTTCCTAATGTGACCCTTTAATACAGTTCATGTTGTGGTGACCCCCAACTATAAAATTATTTTCATTGCTACTTCGTAACTATAGTTTTGCTACTGTTATGAACTGTAATGTAAATAAATCATAATATCAGATATGCTGCTCAAGGAGTCACCACCCACATGTTGAGAACCACTGTTCTAAGGTCGGAGAACAAATGTCCAGAGGATTAGGAAGTTGCCTGTTGCCAGGCAATGCAAATAGAATAGTGAGAATTCCCTCAGTCAAAGTGATGCCAGTTCAGACTAAACTGCAAATCTCAATTTGTAGCCATTGTGGGTCTCCTTTCCTGAGCTTGACTGCCTGGTACTTCTGTTTCTGTGTTTTCTGAAAGAATGCCTCAGCTGAGAGCCCCGGAGTCCTGTTTTGAACTAAATGCAGTTAGGGCAGCCTTGCCTGCCTCTTGAGTGAACAAAATTATCTAGAAACAGCCCCTAAGAGACGAAGAGACTACACACACACACACACACACACACACACACACACACACACACACACACACACACGCCACAGCACTCTATCCCTTAGACGTGCAGGTCGCCATGACGCCCATGAAGTTATTATGTGCCTGGTGGCTTACAAGAGCTCGTGGATCTGGCTTCCTGTGTTGGGCTGCAGTCTGGTGGACCCACAGAAGGCCACCACAGCCTGTCCCCCAAAACCGACCTGTCCGTAATGCAAACAGATGCTCTTGGCCCAGTCCCATCACCCTTTCGTTGGGAGCATTACTGGAAAACTGGAGGCGCCCTGGGGTGTTGCCAAAGCCTCCCCTGTAGTTTTAAAGTATGGTCGCAGTAAGGGCTGACCCCAGCCCGCGTTCTTAGAATCTCTGTAGTCCCGCGCCTCAGCAACGCTGGGCGGCAAACCGTGCGCCCTCGTTCCAAACGTCCACTGGCCGAGAGCAGGACGAGGAGAGCGGAGCCCAGGGCTCCAGCTTGGAGGCCACAAACCCACAAGCCGAGTCACTGCTGAGAGCCCGATGGCCCCATAGAACTGCGAGGAGCAGGGGGCGCCTGGTCGCCCTTCCTCCCTGAGCCTCCCACGGATCCCAACAGAGCACACGATGCCACCGTCGTTAGCGACCAACAGAGTCTCCCTCCGGGAGCTGGCCGACCTGGCAATCGGCACTCCGGAGGTGGGAGCGGTGAACTTCACGGCCCTGCACACACTGATAGTGGCCATGCTCAAGAGCCTCAACCTCCAAGGGGTAGTTATTGACTTCCACTCCCCGTCGGCTGAGTCTGGCCGCTCCGCTGATGTGGTCCGAAGCTCCCTTAGCACCCCGCATGTGTCAAGCAGCAAAGAGAGGCGCCGGAGTCTGTCCAGACCGTCCCTGCCTTCGCAGACGCTGGAGAGCCAGGTGAAGGACCTGGGCACCCAGGTACTGGACCTCAGCAAGCAGATTAAGAACATGGACAACAAAGTGCAGGGCATTGCCACACACGTGGAGCACATCTCCGGAGTCTCTGACCTCTACCCGGAGTTCCAAAGGCTGGAAGAGGAGATGACTCTGGTGCCCCCACAGGCGTCCCCACAGACATCTCCACGTATATCCTCACAGATATCCCCACAGATATCTCCGACAAAGTCCACCAGGATCTATGAATCCATAGAGATACAGGAGAAGTCTGAGCCCACAGCTGGGATGCCCCCACAGGTGATACAATCAAGGCTCTCGAAGACTCAGAAAGATATCAGCCCACCCAAGGTGGGTACACTGACCTACAGAGGCTCCTCCACGATACCCAGTCCCTAAGCTGGAAAGGTGTGTGTGCTAGGTCTGGCCTCACACAGCTCCTATTCTCCCTTGCAGCCCATGAATGTGCTCCAAGACCTCGTAGAAGACGTAAAAGCCCTGAAAGAAGTCCACCAGAAGGTGCAGGAGTTCCCTGAACTGAATGCCCAGGTGAGGACATCCTAGGGACCACACCTCACAAGTGGGGTGGTCCTTTGCCACACTCTCCTTTTTCTTTTCTTTTTGTTTGTTTGTTTGTGGTTTTTTTTCTTTTTTCTATCTTTCTTTTTCTTTTTTTTTTTTGTTTTTTTTGTTTTGTTTTTTTGAGACAGGGTTTCACTGTATAGCCCTGGCTGTCCTGGAACTCACTCTGTATAGACCAGGCTGGCTTTGAACTCACAGAGATCTGCCTGCCTCTGCCTCCTGAATGCTGAGATCAAAGGCATGTGCCACCACTGCCTGGTTCATTTTTATTGTGTGTGATTTGTTTATTTTTATTTTTATGTGTATGAGTGTTTTGCTTGCCTGTATGTACACCCACATACATGCACTGTCTGAGGAGTCTAGAAGAGGGTGTCAGATTTCTGGAACTGGAATTACAGATATCGGGAGCAGCTATGTAGGTACAAGGAACCATACCTTGGTCCTCTACAAAAACAGCTAGTGTTCTCTTCTAAATGTCCTGAGTTCAATTCCCAGCAACCACATGGAGGCTCACAACCGTCTATGATGAGATCTGGTGCCCTCTTCTGGCCTTCATGCATACATGCAGGCAGAACACTGTATACATAATAAATAAATCTGGAAGAAAAAAAAACCAAACCACAAAGCAGCCCGTGTTCTTACTTGCTGAGCCGTCTCTGCAGCCCCACCCCCTGTTTCCTAGGACCATTAATAACCTATCAAGAGGGGTTGGAGACTTGGTTCAGAGGTTAAAACACAGGCTGCTCTTCCAGAGGACCTGGGTTCAATTCCCAGCAACCACATGGTGGCTCACAACTGTCTGTAACTCCAGTTCCAGGGGCTCTGGCACCCTCACACAGACATACATGCACATAAAATAAAAATAAATAAATCTTTAAAAAAATATCAAGATACCTATAAAACCTAAACTGACCTAGAGCTGACGTAGAGGGTAGCTGACATCACAGAATACTCTTAAAATGAATTCTCCTTAAAAATGGAGACTATCAGGGCTGGAGAGATGGCTCAGCAGTTAAGAGCCTGGCTGCTCTTCCCAAGGACCTGAGTTCAATTCCAAGCACCCATATGACAGTTCACAACTGTCTCTATAATGCCAGTTCCAGGATCCAACATCCTCACACAGACATACATGCAGGCAAAACACCAATGCACATGAAAAGAAAATGAAAAAAATTAAAAGAAAAATCATTTTTAAAAAGGAACATAATTCCCTATTAAAAAAAATAAACTGGGGCTGGAGAGATGGCTCAGAGGTTAAAAACACTGACTGCTCTTCCAGAGGTCCTGAGTTCAATTCCCAGCAACCACATGGTGGCTCACAACCATCTGTAATGAGATCTGGTGCCCTCTTCTGGACTGCTGTCATACATGCTGTATACATAATAAATAAATAAATCTTTAAAAAAATAAATAAACTGTGTGGTAGTGGCACACACCTTTAATCCCAGCACTCAAGAGGCAGAGACAGGTGGCCTCTGTGAGTTCAAGGCCAGTCTGGTCAATAGAGTGAGTTCTAGGACAGCCAAGGATACACAGAGAAACCCTGTCTGAATATATATATATATATATATATATATATATATATATATATATATATATATATATATATAGAGAGAGAGAGAGAGAGAGAGAGAGAGAGAGAGAGAGAGGATATCCTCTTGGGGTGGTTCATTTAATCCCAGCACTCAGGAGGCAGAGGCAGGCAGATCTCTGTGAGTTTGAGGCTAGCCTGGTCTACAGAGCTATTCCAGGGATACACAGTGAGACCCTGTGTCAAAGCAAACAACGTGTTTTAGTCAGTGTTCGGTTGCTGTGAAGAGACACCATGACTTCCTTATAAAAGAAAGCATTTGAGGAGAGAGATGGCTCAGCGGTTAAGAGCACTGACTGATGTTCCAGAGGACCCGGGTTCAATTCCCAGGCCAGCTGGTGTCTGATCATGCCAGGCTTAAAAAAAAATGGGGAAAACAGAAAGCATTTAATCTTTGGGCTTGCTTACAGTTTCAGAGGTTCCGCCCGTTGTTTTGGTGGGGCGCGTGGTGGCACACAGGCAGAACATGACGCAGGAGACGGAGCTGAAAACTCTGCAACCAGATCCACAGGCAGCAGGAGGAGAGAGATCGGGCAGGCGTTGGCTTGAGCTCAGAGCCCACCCTCAGTGACACCCTTCCTCTGGCAAGGCCACACCTCCTAATCCTTCTTAAATAGTACCACTCCCTAAACATTGAAATATATGAGCCTATGGGAATCATTCTTATTCAAACCATCACACAAAGCGAATTAATAAAAAGTAAGTAAGGAATGGTAGTTACTGCCTTTAATCCCAAGAGCACTTGGGAGGCTGAGAATTGAGGATTGCTGCAAGTTCAAGGCCAGGCCAGTCAGCTACGGTAAATTTTAGGCCAGCCTGTGGAGTGGAGGAGTGCTGGGCCACACAAACACACAGAAGAGGGTGAGAGTTGGGGGTTTGGGGGAGAAAGCTGGACTTGAGTGGTCCAGGCTCTCAGGAGGAGAAATCACCATGCCCCAAAGCTCAGGTGAGCAAGGAGTTATTGTACACAGACAAACAGCTTTAGTCAGTCTCGGATGGAGCAGTCTGTGGGGCAGCAGCCTTCGGTCTGGAAATATCCACGGAGGAGGAGTGCTTCAGTGGGTGTTTTCTCCACATACTGTGAACACACGGACCCGAGCCTGATGGGGGTAGGGGGTGCTCTGCCATTCCTCTCTTGTTCTAAGGCCCTGGGGTATGTCACACAGCTGTGCCCATGTCAATAGCACACATTCATTCAGGACTCCACCCCCTACAGAGAGAATAAAGAAATCAGGTAGTGTATATTGAGACCCAAGGATCAATCCTGGGTGAGGGGAGGAAGTCGGACACCAGTGTCCCATAGTTACAGATGCAGGTACAGCAGGCAGGGACACTTGGACTTGGCCTTGGATTTTCCTGAGGGAGAAGTTTATCCCGGTGACTCCTCGTGGACACCGTCCCGTGAGCACCAGGGGACACAAAACAAATCAGCTCTAGTTGAACACTGCTAGGCCCAACTTCTAACACAGATTAGGTCAAGGGTTACAGGTGACCCTGTGTGAAGGGGTGGGGCCATCAGGAAGAAAGGGTGGAGAGATCGGATAGAGAAACGGAGGAATGCAAGACAGGCCAGAGGAGGCCATGCCCTGGGGGGTGGTCTCTTAGCTTTTATCCCGGCCTGGGCATTGCATGGTCCAGGGGATCCTCCACCCCTCATCTTGGCTCTGGGCAGAAAAGCTCATTTTCTCTGTTTTTGGAAAAAAAATATATTTTTTCAGAGACAGGGTTTCTCTGTGTAGCCCTGGCTGTCCTGCAGCTCTCTGTGTAGACCAGATTGGCCTGGGATTAAAGGCATGCACCACCACTACCCTGCCTTTTTTTTTTTTTTTTTTTTTTTTTTTTTGAAACAAGGTCTCCTTGTAGTCCAGCTGGCCTTGAATTTAACTGCGTAGCCAAGGCTGATAGTGACCTCCTGACCCTCCTAACCCGCCCCCCCCATCCACACACCAAGGACTGGGGTAACAGGTATGCAACACCATGCCTGCCCTTTTTCAAACTTTTGAGATTGGCATCTAGTCTCAGGACCTGGAGGTGGTAAAAGTGGTAAAGAAGGACTGAAGTGCTGGTCACTTGCCAGGACCCTTGGGGCTTTTCTCCTCCCGTGGCTCAGGCTGCCAGGATGCTGAGGGACCAGGTACTTGATTTTGGAGAGAACAGGTGGGCCTTGTGCTTATAGGGCTAGAAGCTTTTGGTAGTGGGTAGTGTGAGGTGAAGCTCGGGCCAGCTGTCTCACTCCACATGAACACTGGCTGGGCACACTGTACCCCATTACTACTGTGACCACTGCAGTCCACTTCCGCCTTCCCAGTGACCAGGAAGAGAACTGGGAATCTGGCTTGACCTGCCCGGTAAGGCTAGGTGGAAGCTAGAAACCCTTCACTGAGAGCCACACATACCTCATTTCCTTCTCTCCCTTGAACCAAGGCAGTGTGCACGTGTGTGCATGCATGTGTGTGTATGTGAGTGTGTGTGCGTGTGCATGTGTGTGCAGACAGGAAGGCTGAGTGATGGTCCATTTCCAAACTGTTTCCAGGAACTCCTTCAGCGTGTTAATGAACTGGAGAAGGTGGTCAAAGACAGAGAGGAGTACCTGGTAACATGGACAAGCCCTGGGGAAAGGCCCGGCGGGGGGTGGGGGTGGGGGGGGTAGAGGTGTGGGGGGGCGGTAGAGGTGGGAGTGGGGGGGCGGTAGAGGGCTTCTCTTCAGCCTAGCTTCTCTCTAGAGATGGTCCCAACTCCTGCCCCCGCCAGCATCTGTAGCTTAAAGTTTTCCTGCCTGGCCCACAGTCAGGACAAACTCTCTCACCCGCCAGTCCCACAGCCGTCAGACCCGACCAAGTAAACACAGAGACTTATATTGGTTACAAACTGTATGGCCGTGGCAGGCTTCTTGCTAACTGTTCTTACAGCTTAAATTAATCCATTTCCATTAATCTATACCTTGCCACATGGCTCGTGGCTTACCGGCATCTTCACATGCGGCTTGTCATCGTGGCGGCTGGCAGTGTCTCTCCCCCCCAGCTTCCTGTTCTCTCAATTCTCCTCTCTGTTAGTCCTGTCTATACTTCCTGCCTGGCCACTGCCAATCAGTGATTTATTCATTGACCAATCAGCAACACATTTGACATACAGACCATCCCACAGCAAGCATCTGTATCCTTTGGGGATAGGGGGTACAGGCACTCTGCCCCAAGAGGCACCACTTCCAGATAGAGGGTGAGTCCCTGCCATCTCTGCTCAGGGTTCTCTTCAGAGATGGTGTGAGACAAACCAGCCAGGCAATTCTGTACTTGCGGCCAGTGAATCTTCCCGGGGCTGGTGATGTTGGTAGCACCCACCCAACCCTGTGGGTCAGATCTGCAGGGCGAGTGTGTATGTGCATTCATGCTTAACAGATGTGTGTCTGTGTCCTGATGTTACTGACAGGATCAATTAAGTCGGAGACTGAATCTTGCTCCAGGTAGTGAAGAAATCACCATGGTCACCTGGGAAGAGCTGGAACAAGCCATCAGTGATGGTTGGAAGGCCTCAAGAGGGGTAAACAGACAGGGGTCCTGGGAAGGGGCACTGGGTGGGGTTCCAGAGAACATTTCTCATATTTACCACTGTTCCATCTTTTGGTATTTGGATCTTCATAATTTATTTTGTGCATTGTGGATACTTAAAATATTTTTTCCTGGGATGACACTGACCTAAGTGAAGCGGATAAATTCCTGGGTTTGGGAAGCACATCTTCATGCTCTGTCTACCTATTGCTGTTGTATGCTGCCCCAGCTTAGAGTCCACACAGCACACGGAGGGGGTGTATTTTATTCTTTAAGCCTCCTCCCACCTAAACTGTACGTCAGTGCCCACACTGTTGAGCTCTGCCAGTGCGCTGGGTAGAAAATGATGCCCAAGGGTGGTTTTCCTGGCTCCTGGAGCTTTTCTTTTACAGTCCATCTAAAAAGCATTCATTCCTTAACACTTATGGACCAGGGTGACCAGAACTGGAACTAGCAAGCAGCCCCTGCCTATGCGGCTGTCCATCCTGAAATGGCACACATGATCGTCACATGATCATCACATGATCATCACCATGTGCTTGGCAACCTTAATTATTTTCACATGATCTCCTTAGGCAGGATTCACTGATTCACATCAAGAGTTCCAGGTCAGCCATGACTATGTAGTGAGACCCTGTCTCAAAAATAACTAACTAAATAATAAAAATTTAATTTAAAAAAATGCCTAAGAGCCAGGCGGTGGTGACACGCCTTTAATCCCAACACTTGGGAGACAGAGGCAGGCTCTGTGAGTTCGAGGTCTAGTCTAGTAGCCTGATCTACAGAGTGAGTTCCAGGACAGCCAGGGCTGCTACACAGAGAAACTCTGTCTAAAAAAAAAACAAAAACAAAACAAAGAAACAAAAGCCTATGAAACAGCAAGCTTCGGTGCCTGGCAGGCTAGACTTTAAGCAAAAGTCTTACTTTGCCAGTCCTATTGAGAGCCAGGAAGAAGAGAAAAATCCAGGGCAGGCTAGGGAGAGTCAGTCAGTGAGCAGGTGCAGCACGAAGACCTGAGTTGAGTTCCCAGCAGCCCTGTAAAGCCAGGCACAGAAGTGTGTGCCTGTAATCTGAGTTCTGAGGAGGGAGGTATTAGAGGATCCCTGGGGTCTGCTAGCCAGCCAGTCATGCTGAATTGGCGAGCTCACAGTTCCATGAGAGACCGACCCTGCCTCAGAAAGAGTAAGGAGAGGGCCGGAGGAAGACACACAATGACTGTCTCTGGCCTTCACAAACGTACACACACACACACACACACACACACACACACACACACACACACACATATTCACAAACAAGAATAGCCAGCGTTGGTTAAGCGGCGGCGCTCGTGGCCAACTACTGGATGCTGCGGTGGTGGTTATCTTTCTAGAGCTTTATTGAGAGAGAGAGAGAGAGAGAGAGAGAGAGAGAGAGAGAGAGAGAGAGAGAGAGAAAGACACCGCGCGGAGGGGAGAGAATACAGAAGGAGAGAGTGCGGAAAGGGAGGGCACAGAGAGGGCACACGCGCTTTTTAGACTGGGACACCTTAGCAGACTGGTGACGTAATAAGAACATAATCCTTACAGCCAGTAAATGATTTTGTTCCTACTCACCTTTATTTATTTATTTATTGGTTTTTGGTTTATGTATTTTTGAGACAGGGTTTCTCTGTGTAGCCCTGGCTGTCCTAGAACTCACTCTGTAGACCAGGCTGGCCTCGAACTCAGAGATCTTCCTGCCTCTTCCTCCTGAGTACTGGGATTTAAGGCATGCGCCACCACTGCTGGCCCTCCTCATAAACATAAGGTATACAAATCCCAAATCTCCCCAGAACTTTGAAGTTAAAACGGGAGGAAGACCAAGATGAACCAGTGGATAGACTGTAGGCTGTCCCTGCTGTGTGTGATGGCTATAGCACCACAGCAACTGCTTCAAAATCTTGCAATATGTATTTTGAGACACTTAGAGATACTGGGTTCTTTAAACTGTTGCGGTTGGGGCTACAATGTATATACTTTCATTACACTTTAACTTATTCTGTGTGTCTGTGTATGTGTATGACTGTGTGCATTCCAGGATGCCTGCCTGTATGGAGGTCAATGGACAACCTTAAAGAGGCGGTTCCCTCCTTCCACACCATGGGTCCCAGGGGTTGTACTCAGGTCAGGCTTGGTGGCTGAGCCATCTCACCAGCCCCCCAGTGAATATATTCTGAATCAAGTTTCATTTTTCCTAGGACTCTGCTCTGTTCACCCGTTCAACATCCTCAGAAAGACATTGGTCTCATCTGCTGCCCTTGTACAGACAGCGCCCCCTGTCCTCTGTAGCCGCTTTCTGTGAGGGAGCTCACAGACTGTGTCTGTAGTCTCTGTGATGAGTTAATAGCCCTCAAGAACATCTACATTCTCATTCCTAAAAACCTCCATTGTTACCTTTTTAATGACAAAAGAGACTTTGTAGGTCTGATGAAGTTAAGGATCTTGAAGGAGAGTCCCCTGGATCTTGCAGATAAGACATTACCACAAAGGTCTTTGTAAGAGGTAGGGAGTGGTTGTTTAATCCAGTAAGTATGGAAGGAAGGTTGTAAATTCAAGGCCAACCTGGGGGTTGTCTGAAAAAGCCAAACCAGGGCTGGAGAGATGGCTCAGCAGTTAAGAGTACTGGCTGCTCTTCCAGAGGTCCTGAGTTCAATTCCCAGCAACTACATGGTGGCACACAGCTATCCATAATGAGATCTGGTGCCCTTTTCTGGTGTGCAGGCATGCATGAAGGCAGAACATAGTGTACATAATAAATACATCTTTTAAAAACAAAAACAAAAGAGCCAAACCAGGGGCCGTGGCTGGCTGGTTGGTATACTACTTGCTGAGCATGTACAAAATGCTGGGGTCAGTCCTCCTGGTGCTGGTAAACCAGGAGTGGTGGTGCACAGCTGTAATCTCAGCACCCCAGAGGTGGGGCAGGAGGATGAGAAGTGCGAGGCTTGCCTAGGCTACAGAGTGAGTTCACGGCCAGCTAGATGATTTATGGAGACCTTGCCTCCATAAAGAGAAAAACAAAGGGCTCTGAATGTGGTCCAGTGGCAGAGGAACTGCTAATATTTCCACAACCCAGGTTTAATCCCCAGCACTGCACATGTACACTCTCTCTCTCTCTCTCTCTCTCTCTCTCTCTCTCTCTCTCTCTCTCTCACACACACACACACACACACACACACACACACACACACACACACACACACACGCACACTTGCACAGGCCTTCTTTTCTGCAAGGGTCTTAAATCATCCTAGTCAAGATGGAAAGATGGCCCAAGATGGCCTTCCTTTCAGCTTTTACAGCTTCTTTATTGGATGTAACCAATTTCCCTCATCCTCTTTACCCAGAGCTCAGATTCATCAACAGCAACATTTGGCAGGCGCAAAATGACATCGCTGACATCAAATGAGTTTCCCAGTGGAATATTTCCCAGGGCCTTCACTGCTGACCAGACTCGGGGGTCCACTGGTGGCCCAGAACAGATCTTAACCAGTGGTGTAGAACACCCCACTGAAAGAATTATTAGAAGAGACGAGAGTGCTGGATTTCGAGATCTGCACCCAGGGGCCCGCGAGCCATCCCAGATCACCGCAGAAACAGATCGCCAGAGGACTGGGGACTATGTAGCTTCCATACGTCAAAGAAGAGATGAACAACAGCCTGGCCCAACTCAACAGGGCTTACTCCCAGCCAGAGACCAGTATGGTGGGGTGCCCATTAGTCAGGGTCCAGTCTACCCAACTCCAGATGTGCATGGGATTGGACCATTTGTCATGGATCAACCTGCAATCCTGTATCCTGGCACTTATCCTCATGCTGTGGTACCCTTCTCTATGGGCCAGCTTGGTGTATTACCACCAGAAATGGATGACCAGGGATTGGTACCTTTTGGTATGTATCAGAGTGGTGTGCTGCCACCATCGGTACCTGACAGGGGTCAACAAGGACTGGAAAGACTTCGTACAGCTCAGCTTGCTACAGTTCCATTCAGCACATATCAGCAAGTTATGATGCTTCCTAGAACAGACCAACATGGCATGGAACAGGCTGTCATGTATGACAGTGGTCTGGGACCATGGGACATGGATAGGCAAGGGTTGATACCAGTTGGTATAGATCAGCATGGATTTGTAATATTAGGCACAGGTCAGCAAGGGCTGATTCCCCCTGGTGTGGATCAGCAGGGATTGGTAATGCCTGGCATAGATCAGCATGCATTCCCTCCATCTCTTCCAGATCAATATGGCTTGGTGGCACCTGGTCTGACACAAGTAGGTACAAATCAACAAGGTTTTGGGCAGCCCAGCTCAGAAGCACCAGGCTTCATACAACCTGGTGTAGATCAGCGTGGCATGGTGCAGCCCATTGTAGATCAACGTGGCGTGGTGCAGCCCGTTGTAGATCAGCGTGGCGTGGTGCCGCCCGGTGTAGATCAGCGTGGCGTGGTGCCGCCCGGTGTAGATCAGCGTGGCGTGGTGCCGCCCGGTGTAGATCAGCGTGGCGTGGTGCAGCCAGGTGTAGATCAGCGTGGCGTGGTGCAGCCTGGTGTAGATCCACGTGTTTTGATGAGGCCTGAACCAGATAGGCGTAGTTCAGAACCTGCTAGGACAGATAGGCAAAGTTTGGTACAGTCTGTTGCAGATCGGCGTAGTTCAGCGCCCTTGCCGGCAGATCGACGGGGTTTGGGGCAGCCTGGGGCAAGTTGGAGAGGTTCAGCACATCCTGGAGCGGGTAGGCAGAGTTTAGTACAGCCAGGGGCAGATCAACATGGTTTGGTACAGCCTAGCACAGACCAACCAGGGGCAGTCCAGCCCGGCCCGGTGCAACCAGGGGCAGTCCAGCCCGGCCCGGTGCAACCAGGGGCAGTCCAGCCCGGCCCGGTGCAACCAGGGGCAGTCCAGCCCGGCCCGGTGCAACCAGGTGCAATTCAACCTGGCATGATGCAACCAGGTGCAATTCAACCTGGCATGATGCAACCAGGTGCAATTCAGCCTGACATGCAACCTCTTGGTGCAGGTCAGCCTAGCTTGATTCAACCTGGTGTATATCCACCTGGTTTGGCACAACTTGGTGCAGGTCAACAAAGTTTAGTGCAAGCTGGCACAGGTCAGCCTGTTTGGGTTCAACCGAGCACAGATCAACATGGCTGGATACAACCTGGTGCATTTCTGCCTGGTTTGGTACAACCTAGTGTAGCTCAACAAGGTTTGGCACAACTTGGAATGGATCACCATGGATTGGTACAACCAGGTGCAGTTCAACATAGGCTGGTACAGCCAGATGTATATGCACCTGAGTTGATGCAACTTGGTGCAATTCAGGATAGTTTGGTACAACCTGAAATACATCAGCGTGGTTTTGTGCAGCCTGGTGCAGATCAGCTTGCTATGGCACAACCAGGTGCAGTCCAGCCCAGCCCGGTGCGACCAGGGGCAGTCCAGCCCGGTCCGGTGCAACCAGGGGCAGTCCAACCCGGTCCGGTGCAACCAGGGGCAGTCCAGCCAGCCCTGGTGCAACCAGGTGCAATTCAACCTGGCATGATGCAACCAGGTGCAATTCAACCTGGCATGATGCAACCAGGTGTAGATCAGCGTGGCCTGGTGCAACCTGAGGCATTTCCTAGTGGTTGGGTACAGTCTGAAACATACTCACCTGGCTTGGTTCAACCTGCTATAGGTCAATATGGTTTGGTTCAGGTAAGAGCTGATCAATATGGTTTTATACAGCCAAGTGAAGCACAACATGGTTTACTCCAACCTGGTGGAGATCAACATGTCATAGATCGACTTGATTGGATGCAACCTGGAATGGATCATGGTGGTTCAGTACAACCTGGTGCAGATGAGAGTAGCTTAGCCCAACCTGGCATGGATCAGCGTGACTTGGCACAACCTGGAGCGATTCAACATGGCTCAGTGCAACTTAGTGCAGACCAGTCTGGCTTGGCACAGCCTAGAGTATACCAGAGTGGCTTGGTGGAGCCTGGCATGGACCAGCATGGCTTAGCACAACCTAGGATGTATCAGTATGGTTTTGTGGAATCTGGTGCAATTCAGCGTGGCCTGATGCAGCCTGGAGCAGTTCAGCCTAGGCTGGTGCAGCCTGTCATGGATCAGCGTGGCCTGATGCAGCCTGGAGCAGTTCAGCCTAGGCTGGTGCAGCCTGTCATGGATCAGCGTGGCCTGATGCAGCCTGGAGCAGTTCAGCCGAGGCTGGTGCAGCCTGTCATGGATCAGCGTGGCCTGGTGCGGCCTGGAGCAGTTCAGCCTAGGCTTGTGCAGCCTGTCATGGATCAGCGTGGCCTGATGCAGCCTGGAGCAGTTCAGCCTAGGCTTGTGCAGCCTGTCATGGATCAGCGTGGCTTAAAGCAGCCTGGAGTAGTTCAGCCGAGGCTGATGCAGCCTGTCATGGATCAGCAAGGCCTGGTGCAGCCTGGAGCAGTTCAGCCTAGGCTTGTGCAGCCTGTCATGGATCAGCGTGGCTTAAAGCAGCCTGGAGTAGTTCAGCCTAGGCTGATGCAGCCTGTCATGGATCAGCAAGGCCTGGTGCAGCCTGTCATGGATCAGCAAGGCCTGGTGCAGCCTATCATGGATCATCGTGGCTTAACGCAGCCTGGAATAGTTCAGCCTAGGCTGATGCAGCCTGTCATGGATCAGCAAGGCCTGGTGCAGCCTGTCAGGGATCAGCGTGACCTGGTACAACCTGGCATGGATCAGCCAAGCTCAGTGCAGCCTGGCATGGATCAGAGTGGCTCTCAGCAGCTTGGGGAAGAAAGGAGTGATTCACAGCAGCCTAGCATGGATCAGAGTGACTCACTGCAGCCTGGGGCAGATCAGCCTGGCTTGTTGCAGCCTGGGGCAGATCAGCCTGGCTTGTTGCAGCCTGGGGCAGATCAGCCTGGCTTGTTGCAGCCTGGGGCAGATCAGTCTGGCTTGTTGCAGCCTGGGGCAGATCAGCCTGGCTTGTTGCAGCCTGGGGCACATCAGCCTCTCTTGTTGCAGCCTGGGACAGGTCAGCCTGGCTTGTTGCAGCCTGGGACAGGTCAGCCTGGCTTGTTGCAGCCTGGGGCAGATCAGTCTGGCTTGTTGCAGCCTAGGTCAGGTTGGCTTAGTATGATGCAGCTAGGAAGACTTCAGCCTGGTGCAATCCCTCAGGGCTTGGTTCAGCCTGGTGCAGGCCCTCTTGGCTTGATTCAGCCTGGCATAGGCCCTCGTGGTTTGGTTCAGCCTGGCATAGGCCCTGGTGGCTTGGTTCAGCCTGGTGCAGGCCCTCAGGGATTGGTTCAGCCTGGTGCAGGCCCTCAGGGATTGGTTCAGCCTGGTGCAGGCCCTCAGGTTCAGCCTGGTGCAGGCCCTCAGGGTTTGGTTCAGCCTGGTGCAGGCCCTCAGGTTCAGCCTGGTATGCACATGGCTCCACTTGGTACATATCCATCTGGTTCCAGACAAATCATTACTAGTCAGCCAAGCTTCATAGCATCAGGCATAGAGCTTCATGGCTTTCCAGATTCATATCAGCGGCAAATGCTAACTTCTGAACAAGTACAAGGCCAAGCTGGGCAAGATATACTTCCTGTCCTGGACCATCAGGACTCAGACCAACAAGTTCCAGGTGAAGGCCCAACAATCCCAGGTGCAGTTCAGTACGATCAAACACAGGCTGTCCCGAGTTACGGTGGCCCAGAACCCAGAGCTTACACATCTGGCCACATCATTTGGGATCCGAGCAGGAAACTTACCTCAGTCCAGTTTGAACTGGCTACCCCAGGGGGCTCACACCAAGCTACCACTGACTCCAGGGTTCGAGACTTGAGCTACCTCCACCGATTCTCATCAGCAAGTGAGACCCGCAGTGATCGACAGGAATCACTGGAAAAACTGGCTCCAAGCTTTCCCATGGCAGTGGAGACATTCCGCCTGATGGGCGAGATCATTGGCCTTTATGTGGAACTGAAGGATCGCATGAAGGACTTGGATGAGGAACACGCCGGCCAGACTGACTTGGAGAAAATCCAGTACCTATTCTCCATGATGGGTGAGTGTCATTTGCTGCCGAGGGAAAGTAGCCTTTGCTCTTCTCAATGCTCCCTCTCTCCTCAGCAGAGCATGCTCTACCCATACCTGACCCCATTCATAGCCACAGCCTGTGGGGAGATAGACTCCAGTGAGGCAGGCTTTTACACCTTTGTCAAGGCAGCAGGGGCTGACTAGGGGAGGGCAAAGCCTGGAGGTGACGGGGGATGAGAAAGAGAGTGGCAGAATGAAGTTCCCATTTGCCCAGTCACAACTCGGTTTGTGATGGAAATGGCAGGGTCAGTGGGTGAGGCTCTTGGGGCAAATACTGGTCCCCCCAGCTCCTCTCCCTCCTTGCCCAGTGACCAGAGAAACAGGATCAAGCAGTCTTCCCACTTCATCTCGGGGGTCAATTCCTTATCAAGGGACTGGAAACAGGCAGGGAGACCCATGGGAACCTTACCTGATGGTAGCCTCCGTATTCCATAGTCAAAAAGACCATACCTCAGGACCTGCAAGACCAGCTGAAGAGCCTAAAGGCCTTGAACAGAGAAGTTCGACAGGACAAGGCCAAAGTGCGTAAGGGAGGGCCAGCCTCCTTAGCATTCTCAGGTGAAATCAGAAACTTAGTGGTTCCTGCTGGGCTAGATGCCCACAGGCCGTCTCCCTCCGCTGTGGTCCCAGCACATCCTTATTACCCAGTCATATAGAAAACACAACCCGCTGTCAATCATGAAGATGGATACTCAGAGCCTTTAAAATATAGGTGGCCCCGTTAACACACATTTGCTCCTCATACCACAAGTGACAGCCTTGGAGTCCTATTAGGGACTCTTTAGAGACAGAAGCCATTGCAAGAGGCTGCTGGGTCTCCGCTGCTAGCAGCTTTATCCATGAGATAGAAGAGGGCTGGATATCCTGAGGTCCACCTTCAGGAGTAGACACTCAGATCTGTCTGACACTTAACCTCCTTTGTGCTTGTAGCTGGAAAAGATCCAGAAGCTGCTGGACACTGAAGGCTCTGCAACGAAGGATGTGAAGCCTAGTCATCTGAGCTTGCAGCTGGGCATCCTCAGGTGACACCCTCTCTCTGCAGCTGGTGCCCTGGCTGGCATCATGGTTAAGGCCCAGGCAGTGGAGGTACCTTCTGTCTCCCCATGTCCTGTACTGACCACTGTCTCTCATCTGGAGTGTACCAACTCTTCAGCTTGTCCCAGACTTTTCAAGATCTGGTAGAAGTTCCCCTACATTCCTAAGGTCGGTACCAGGACTGGGGAGGAGCACAAAGATGCTATGTCCCACCAGAGGACCCCATTTGAAGCCCCTAGACAGAGGCTCCTGATGTCCTTGTCCTGCTGTGCCTCTGACAGCCAAGCCTCTCCATTGCAGAGTCACCGTGTCCGACATCGAGAAGGAGCTGTCTGAGCTGAGGGAGAGCCAAGAGCGAGGCAAGGCCGCCATGGAGAATTCAGTCTCCGAAGCCTCCCTCTACCTGCAGGATCAGGTGAGCAGTCTGTGGCCAAGGCTCCAAGGCCCTCCTAGAGTCAGGAGCAGAAAGAAGGCAGCCTCGCCCTGTTTGGGGGCATGTGTGGAGTGACTCTTCTGTTACTGTGGTAAAATGCCATGACCAAAAGCAACTTAGAGAAGGATAGAGTCCATCATGGTGAGGAAGGCCTCCGAACAGGCAGGGAGGGTATGGCGGCCGGAACAGGAAGCTAGCAGATGACATTTCCATCTGCTCAAAGAAGCAACAACTTCGGAGCGCGTGTTCAAACACACAGGCCTTTGGGGGGCGCTTCTCACCCAAAGCGCTGCAGTATGGGAGGAGCCGTGGGCGGGGGCTCAGCCCCATCCTGATGTGAGGCTGGATCTGAGGTTCCAAGGACAAGGGCATAGCTGCAGGAGTTGAGACAGGGTCCTTCACCGCCTGCTTCCTGTTGCGTATTTCCTTTAATTCACATATCATAAAACATACCTTTTAACTGTATCTTATTATTTTTAATAATTGTTTGTTTTTTGAGATTATAATAGAATTACATCATTTCCTCCTTCCTTTCCTTCCTTCAAGCCCCCCCATAAACCCTCCCTTGTTCTCTTTCGAATTCATGGTTTCTATTTCTTTCACTGGTGTGTGTGAGTGTGTGTGTATTCATAAATATAAAAGTACAACCTGCTCAGGACTGGAGAGATTGCACAGTGGTTAGGAGCACCGGCTGCTCTTCCAGAGGACCCCGGTTCAATTCCCAGCCCCCACATGGTGCCTCACTCACAGGTGCCTCCAGTTCCAGGGGGTCTGACACCCTCACACAGACACAACACCAGTGTACATAAAATTTAAAAAAGAAGAAAAAAAAGGTACAACCTGCTCAGTCCGTCCGTGTGTTATTTGTGTGTTTTCAGGGCTAGCCGTTTGGTTTTGGTGTGGCTTTCCAGGAGAACATGCTCTCCTCTGCCCTCAGCCTTCCTGAGTTGCCCGAAGTTCCTTGTCTAAGGCTGAGGCCCCAAGAGCTCTTCCTTTCCCACACCAGCTTGTCTATGGGTGGCAGCCTTTAGTAATGTGTGTGTGTGCCCTGTGGCGGGGGAGGGGAGCGCTGCTCGGGGAGTATAGAGGCATTGGATTCCTGGAGCCACCTGGGTGCTGGGAAATAAACTCAGGAGTACGTGCTCTCAGTCACCAGGCCATCTCTCCAGCTCTTTATTTTATTTTTCATCTTTATCAATTTATTTTTATGTTTTGAGTCTTTTGGTCCTCATGTATATAAGTGTGCATACAGTACAGATGCATACAGTACCCTCAGAGTCCAGAAAAGGACATCAGGGGATCTGGAGTTAGAGATGGTTGGGAGCCATTGTGTAGATGCTGAACCCGGACCTCTGCAAGAGCAGTCAGTGCTCCTAACCATTGAGCTATCTCTCCATCCCAGCATCCATTTTCCCCCCAGTTTTTTTTTTTAAGATTTATTTATTAATTACGTATAAAATGTTCTGTCTGAATGTATCCCTACACCCCAGAAGAGGACACCAGATCTCATTATAGATGGCTGTGAGCCACCATGTGGTTGCTGGGAATTGAACTCAGGACCTCTAGAAGAGCAGCAGCCAGTGCTCTTAACCTCTGAGCCATCTCTCCAGCCCTTTCCTCAGTTTTTTTGTGTAGCCCTGGCTGTCCTGGAACTCACTCTGTAGACTAGGCTGGCCTTGAACTCACAGAGATCCGCCTGCCTCTGCCTCCCCAATGCTGGGATTAAAGGTGTGCACCACTGAAGCCTGCCTCCCAGCATCCACTTTCATTGTGACTCCAAAATATTCCATTCTGGGCCGGGCGGTGGTGGCACTCGGGAGGCAGAGGCAGGTGGATCTCTATGAGTTCAAGGCTAGCCTGGTCTACAGAGCTAGTTCCAGAAAAGCTAAGAATGTTACACAGAGAAACCCTGTCTGGGAAAAAAAAAATCCATTCTGGTTGGGCAGATTTGTGTGAGTATGTCTTCTTTCCTCTTGGGCATGGACCCTAGAACGGAAGCTCTGGCTGGTGTGATGACCTACCATTTGAGCAGCTGACAGACTATTTTTTCCCAAGTAGCTGTACCATATGAACTCCCACCAGCAGAGGTTGAAGACTGCAGTTTCTCCAGATGTTCACAAACATGGATCCTTTTCTCTTTTCAGATTTATTGTATTTACCTTTAATTATGCATGTGTGGGTGCACTCCTCTGTGTGTGTGTGTGTTGTGGGGATGTGCACATGTGAGTACAGATGCCCATGGAGTCCAGAAGGAGGTGTCCGATCTCCTGGAACTGGAGTTAAAGGTCGCTGTGAGCCATCATGTGGGTGCTGGGAACCGAACCTGAGTGTCTTTGAGAGCAGCCAACGCTCTGAGCCGCTGAGCCACCTCTCCAGCCCCTCCCTCTTTTTTCCCTTGGGAAAGCTACATGCATTCTGGTGGGTGTGAGGTGTTAGTGTGATTTGCATTTACATTTGCCCAGTAACTAGTGATGCTGAGACCTTCTCCCGTGCCGGGTGGCCATCCTGTGTACCTGTGCACGCACGGTGCTGGAAAGATGAAACCCGGAGCCTTACATGCCAGACAGTGTTCTTTCCCACTGTGCTACACTCCCCAACCCCCCCCTCTCCCAGGTTCCTTCGTGACTCCAAGCTGCCTGTCCTGTGGGGCAGGCAGCAGTTCAGAGACTCGCAGGTCACCTGCCAGCGCACATTAGGTGCTTAGGTGCGGAGAACCAGCCCACCCCACCCCACCTCCTCTGCAGTCCTTTTGTGTTTTGCAGTGCTGGGATGGAACCCAGGCTCCAAGGCAAGCACTCCATAACCAGGCTCCTGGTACCCTAACATCCCTTCCAGGAGGTTCCACCTCTGCACCACCTGCGCCGCCAGGCTCTGCTACCTGGCCTTCCCGCCTTCCTCCCAACACACGTGTGCTGTTCTTTCTGAAATGTTCTCCTGGTACTAATTTCCCAGAGATACACTTAAAAAAATTTTTTTTTGTTGTTGTTGTTTTGTTTTTCGAGACAGGGTTTCTCTGTGTAGTTTTGGTGCCTGTCCGGGATCTCGCTCTGTAGACCAGGCTGGCCTTGAACTCACAGAGATCCACCTGGCTCTGCCTCTCGAGTGCTGGGATCAAAGGCCATGCACCACTACTGCCCGGCGAGCTCCACTTTTTAATTCTTGAAGGTTCCACCGAGACAGCCAACTTTTTTTGGGATTGACTCTGAGAGAGACCCGTATGCCTTTTTCTACCCTAGCAGCCACCGTGTGCTGCTCTGGCCTTAGCCAGGACCCTTCCTTAGCAAGCTCCTACTGTGTGGGCCCAGAACAAACGTGCAATGTGTTGCATGCCGCCTGCAAAGGGCCGGAGAGCTGACTCCCAGGCTAGGGCAGTCTGAGGCAGGCAGCTCGCTGTGACGGCCTCTGCCTGGCCTTCTACACATGTGTACCTTCCTTCTTCCTCACGTCTGGCTGTGCCTCTCCTTCCCTTCTGTCATCCAGCAACTTGTGTGTCTCTCACACAGTCTCAAATATCTTCCCTAAGCTCTGCAGCATGTATTTGGTGTCACTGCCCACTAGGAAGGGGATGGCGCCCCTTCATGGAGCTGGACAGCATCCTTAGCAGGTCTAGGTGGGTTGCTCTTGACTCCAGCTGGCCACCCAGGACCAGTCATTGGCGGTAACAAGCTAAGACCATGGAGAGAAGAGGCAAGCAGGCTGAGGGCCAGGCTGAACAGCTCTCCCTGGAAGGAACTTGCACCTTCACACCCCGAGAGATCCATGCAGCTGTATATGCACTTCTCACACTCCTTTACTGTTTACATCCTGAGTGAGTGAGAGCACTGTTCACGCTCCCAGTGCTGAAAGAGCACTGCATCATCAGAGAGCCCTGTGAGAACATCCTTTTAGGACTGAACTACAGAAGCTGTGTCCTTACACTGGACCCATAGACTGGCTGGAGAAACTCCCCACAAACACATGTGCTCTCTCCGTCATTAACGCTGTCCGCTGGCAGAAAAGGTATTTGGAAAACTATTTTGATGGGTAGAGCTCAACTGTCTACTGTGTGCAGTATCCTCTGTGAGGTGCTGAGGAGGCAGTAACTGTCCTGTGTCATAGCAGGGGTGAGGTAGAATGTGTCACACCAGTGGTTGGATGTGGTTTTGACCTCCCTTCCTTCCCCCTTCATGTCTGTCCTGCATCCAGCTGGACAAACTCAGAACCATCATCGAAAGCATGCTGAGCTCCTCCTCCACACTGCTATCCATGAGCATAACCCCACACAAGTCCATGAACACCCTGGTGCCTGGCCAGATCGACCCTGAGGCCACCTGTCCAGCCTGCAGTCTGGATGTGAGCCATCAAGTCAGTCTGCTGGTACAGCGTTACGAGCAGCTGCAGGACATGGTCAGCGGCCTGGCTGCCTCCAGGCCCTCCAAGAAGGCCAAGCTGCAGAGCCAGGCAAGTCTCTGCTCAGCTCCCTCACAGGATGGCTAGAGGTGGCCCCCTGGTAGAGGGCTGCCTTCCCAGGGGCCCGCAGAAGCCAGTGCGAGAGCTTGAGGGTCAGGTCCCCACGGTGGAGCCCTCTAGCCAGATCCCACATAAGCCCTTGGTCCTTACACAGGCCACAGTGAAGGCAGCAGCAGGGCCGGCTTTTGAGACAGCAGAGGAGGGGGAGGAGGATGGGCTTAGTGGGTGGGATGTCGCTGGCCGACCAAGGATGGAACAGTAGCCACCGTGGGACACAGGGACACCGTTAGAGCTGCAGGACACAGCTCCCCTCGATTGCCAGTGTTTCTAACACTTTTTAGACTTCCCCTGGAGGGAAAGCTTGCTGCTGGGGTGGGGGTCACCACCAGATCCCGGTTTCTGCTCTTGAACTCAGGGACTCAGACATAGTTCAGATGGCTGCCCACATCTCACCTCTCAGAGATCATGGCACAACATAGCACATCTGAGCCTCGGTTACCTCTCTGATGACTCCCAAGGCCACTGATACCAGTCCGTCAATATGTGGGGGATTGGTGACTACCTCCAGTTAGTGAAGGACACAGGTGTCAGTGAAGGACACTGGAGAAAGCCAGGTGGCTTTGAAGTGAGCATGTGTGTTGGGTGATGGTTTTGTTTTTTAACATTTATGAGTTTATTGCACACACACATACATGCACACACGCGTATGCACGCACATGTCCATATCATGGAATCCGTGCAGAAGTCAGAGGACCACTTGCAGGAGTCAGTTCTTTCTGTCCACCATGTAGGTCCTGGGGATTGAAGCCAGCTCACCAGGCTTAGCAACAAATACCTTTTCGTGTGGGGCCACCTCCCAAGCTTTGTCCTTGTCTGTTAGAGCCCCACTACACAGCCCAGACTCTACTGGAACTTCCAATCTTAGCTTCCTGAGTGTTGGGAGGTCTGGCTGGCACTACCACACCTGACTTTCAGTCGTAGTTCTAAAGGCAGCCTACCGCTTATGGGGACCAAAGGGGACTGCTTAGGAGGGGGCTCAGCAGCCTCCCAGGAGCCTCCCTGTCACTCACTGCTGCAGGATGAGGAGCTACTGGGCCACGTGCAGAGTGCCATCCTGCAGGTCCAGGGCGACTGTGAGAAGCTCAACGTCACTACCAGCAACCTCATTGAGGACCATCGGCAGAAGCAGAAAGACATTGAAGTGAGCAGCCACAGGGCGCCTGGGGTGGGGATGGGGCTCATCAGCCCTGTCCACGCCCGCCACTCAGCATTGCTGACTTCCTTGTCTCTGTTCTGTGGGTCCCCAGGTGCTGTACCAGGGAATAGAGAGACTGGATAAGGAAAAGGCTGACCGAGAGCATCTGGAGATGGAGATTGATGTAGTGAGCACCAGACCCCAGGAGCGCCTCTGTCTCCTCCCCGGCCAGCGCAGGGGGGTGGGGGATATGGAGCCAACAGGAGGAATGGAGGGACACGCATACCCCATGCTCTTCTCTCATGCAGAAAGCGGACAAGAGTGCTCTGGCATCCAAAGTGAGCCGCATCCAGTTTGATGCCACCACCGAGCAGCTGAACCACATGATGCAGGAACTGGTGGCCAAGATGAGTGGCCAGGAGCAGGACTGGCAGAAACTTGTGGACAAGCTCCTGGCAGAGATGGACAGCAAGGTGAGGGCGGGGGAAGGTACAGGGCGGGCTAGGCTGCTCTCCACGCAAGCCCCTGCCATCAGACACCACCACTCTCTCCAAGGCTAGATCCCTCCCCCCATCCACCTGCTGCCTTAAGCTCACCTGGTGCCCATCTCCCAGCTGGACCGCCTGGAGCTGGACCCAGTGAAGCAGATGCTGGAGGACCGCTGGAAATCGCTGCGGCAGCAGCTCAAAGAGCGCTCCCCACTCTACCAGGCCGACGAGGCCGCTGCCATGCGGAGGTGAGACCAGGAAGACAGTGCGGAACGTGGAGGTGGCAGACTGGCTGGGCAGCCCCAGAGGGTCTATTCTGCCCCGAACTGACAACCAGGCAGAAGGGCTGCATTTTAGAGTTGACTAGTTTAGCAGGGCCTGGTGGCACACACCTTTAATCTCAGCACTCGGGAGGCAGAGGCAGGAGGATCTCTGAGAGTTCAAGGTCAGCCTGGTCTACAAAGTGAGTTCCAGGACAGTCAGGGTTGCTACACAGAGAAACCCTGTCCAGAAACACCCACCCACTAACAACTTGGCCAGATCCTTCAGCTGATGGTGGAGAAAGGCAGTAGGGAGGCGCAAGGCTCTTGGGGTTGGATCGTGCTATACTGCATTTCTGGGGCACAAAGATGACCAAGATGCCCCTTGGGAATTTGGCTAGGGAAATCCCACTCATGGCCACCAGGGGGCACCAGAGGCACACACACACACACACAAGGTACTGAGTTGGATGGCTGATGCAGCAGGATGTGTGCTTGGAAGGGATGGTTAGAACCAGGTGAAAGCACAGGAAGTAGGGCAGGATCTGCCACCTCGTGGACTGAGCTGCCAGCAGGCCCGTCCCACAAGAGGGCCTAACGCTCCGGATCTCACCTGCTGTGCTATATCCTGTTCCTGACAGGCAGCTCTTGGCTCATTTCCACTGCCTGTCCTGTGACCGTCCCTTGGAGACAGCTGTGACTGGACAGTGAGTGCCCACACCTCCCCCACAGCATCTGGGGGGTAGAGAGAAGGCCGGGGGTGTGTCTCCCTGTCCCCACTCATCTTACCTCTTGTCCCGGGTCTCTGGGCCTTTCTAGCGGCCCACACTGAGTAGTTAGGAACGTCCCTCAGAACATGGCAGTGGGTGGCTGGTGTTGCTGAGAGGTGGGATTTTTCACAGCCTCCCCTTTCCTTCCTCTGTGCCTACCTAGAGTCATCTCTATGACCCCTATAGTTCCCAGCATGCCGGGGCACCGTTCTGTCCGGCCTTATACTGTGTTCGAGCTAGAACAGGTCCGACAGCAGAGCCGCAAGTATGGGGCTGTGGGATCCTGGGCAGGGCAGGGGTGGGCTGGGAGGGGCAAGATGGCTCCAGAGGACACCCTGGGAGTACTACTGAGGGCCTCTGCCAAGGGTCAGGATGGGGGCCACTAGATTGACTCTCTTTTTTGTTTTGTGTTTACATTTTTTGTTACATCTTAAGTATTTGTTTTGTGGGGGAAGAGGGCTTTTGAGTCTAAGGAAAAGCTTCCCCAGCAAGTCTGGTCCTTCACAGGTCTCTTAGAGTTGCTGAGATGCCTAGTGGCCCTCAACCCTCAGTCAAGGGCCCATGGCATGGGCCTCTAGCTCAGTTCACACAGGGTCCTGCAGAACAGGGTTCTGGGGCCAAAGGAAGTGTGAACACAAGGTCCAGGAGAAAAGTGCCTCCTCCAGAGCTCTGTCTGGCCCCGGGTCAACCTCCTTCCCTCTGCCCTTGTCTCACAGCCTGAAGTTGGGCGGCAGCTTCGCTCGAGGCGATCTGTCACAGATGGAGAGGAGCGTGGGGCGCCTGCGCAGCATGCACTCCAAGATGCTGATGGACATTGAGAAAGTGCAGATCCACTTCGGAGGCTCTGTGAAGGCCAGCAGCCAGATGATCCGAGAGCTGCTACATGCCCAGTGCCTCAGCCACCCATGCTACAAACGGTAGGAGGACAAGAGTCCAGGGACAGACACACAGGTCCCTGGTGACCAAGCGTGGCTTCTATTCGCCCAGGGTGTAAGAGCAAATGCCTCACCCCATTGCCAGAGGTGGAGGTAGAGTGAAGGGGTGAGAGAGTGTGAGTGTGTGTGTGTTAGAGTGTGTGGGTGTGTGTGTGTTAGAGTGTGTGTGTGTGTGAGTGTGTTAGAGTGTGTGTGTGAGAGTGTGTGTGAGTGTGTGAGTGTGTGTTAGAGTGTGTGTGTGTGTGAGTGTGTGTGAGAGTGTGTGTGTGTGAGTATGTGTGTGTGAGTATGTGTGAGTGTGTGTGTGTGTGTGAGAGTGTGTGTATTAGAGTGGTGCATATGCATGGTGTGTGGTGCCTATGGCCACAGACTCACCTGCCTGTCCCATGTAACACTCCTGGTGACTCCCTATGTCTGCATCCCAGGGGAGTAGACACGGCAGATTACACCTACTCAACTGTGCCCCGTCGCTGTGGCGGCAGCCACACCCTCACCTACCCTTACCGCCGAAACCGCCCGCAGCACCTGTCCCCACTGGAGGAGATCCAGATTGCCATGAAGGTCTGATGGGAGCCATGGGGAAGCTAGCCCCGCCATGCCCCTTCTGGAAGAACACCCAAAGCCCATCACTAGACCCCCTTCCTTGACCCCCCTCTACCCTCCTTCCCTTCCTTGCTGTCCTAGAGATCGCTAGGCAAGCCCTTTACCATGGAGCTATCTCCCCGACCTCTGTTACACACCTTTTATTTTTTGAGACACGGTCTTACCAAGTCCTCAGGCAGGCCTTGAACTCAGGATCCTTCTGCCTCAGCCTCCCGAAGTAGCTAGGATGTACAGTTCTTGCCCACATCAAGCCCCAGGCTCTGCTGAGTGGACGACTGCCATCCTCACCCATCTCTCTCAGACACTCCACTCTGCCCCCGTCGCCGGCCTCTGAACACCACTCGACCCCTCATCTTGCACTCAGCCCAGACTCCCACGCAGGGGTCTTGCTTTCTTGCCACTGGGCCTTGCTTTTTATAGTCCTGGCTGGGCTGGTACTAGCTTTATCTCCCAGACTGGCCTTGAAGTCAGTGGGAAGCCTGCTGCCTCAGTCTCCCCAGAGCCAGGATTCCAGGCATGTGGCCCAGGCCTCCGTTCCCAGGGAGGGTTCTGAGCACAGGCTGACAGCCTCTGCACTCTAAGACTCCCGGGAGGAAACTCAGGATGTTGCCATGATAATGGACATGTGTATCCCTCTATAGCACGATGAGGTTGACATCTTGGGCCTTGATGGTCACATCTACAAGGGACGAATGGATACAAGGTTGCCAGGCATCCTAGGGAAAGACGGTGAGCGTCCGGATCGCCTTGAGCTCCTTCAGGGTTCTTGCTTGGGTTCCAAAGGACATTTGTCTCTCTCGGTACAGGCATGTCTTGGGCCCCTGGGCCGAGACTTTTCTTTCTCCTCCCTGAAGCCAGGTGGCTGCTTTCTGGTGGAGAGCAGCAGCCAGACCCAGCCAATCGCTCCGCAGAGGCTCTGTCCTTTCTTGCTGGCCCTCCCCCTCACACCACCACAGTGGAGCTCTCCTGCCTCCACCTCAGTTCCCTGGATCAGGGCGGCCAAGCCCTAACTGACTTTTCAAAACTCAGCAAAGGGCCCTTATTCCAACACCAAGGCTCCTGAAGGCCCACTTCCAGTTCATACCAGAAGCATATGGCTGATCACTTCCCATCACGCCTTGGGCCTTCCCTGTTATCTCCTTCCTGAACCACCAGCCTGGGCCAGAACTCACTCAGTCCCTACACAAGGCTGATGTGTACAAGTCCTCAGAGAACCTGGGTGGGTGGGTGCATGGATTAGCAGACCGACGGGCAGGTAGATGTGTGACGAACCAGGAGTTTCTAAGGGGTGTAGCCGCCACAAGTTGAACCTGTCAAGGATCCCACCCCAGCTGGCTCCTCATGGACGCGGGCTCCCACAGCTCACTTGGCGCTGACCCCTGGGTGCTTGCCCTCCCTCCCTCCCGGCCCCAGGAATGGCAAAGCACAAGTCGAAGCAGCTGCAGCAGCTGCAGCAGTTACAACAGTTCCAGCAGCTGCAGCAGCTCCAGCAACTCCAGCAGGCCCAGCACGCCCGGCCCCACATGCACAGACAGCCATCCCTGGGCCACAGCGGCCTGCCACCCTCTCGACCTCAGAGTGCACAGACGGCTGACAGCAATTCAGGTAGTTTCCTTCTGGCAGCCTGAACGCTACCCCCAAGCCTTTCCTTCCTTCAGACAGCCCTCTCTTCCAGCCCAGGCTGGAGACAGCAAGGGCCAGGGAGCTAAGGGATGAGATGGGAGGGAGAATTTCGAAAACCCAGTTGCGGAATGTTTGGTATGTGCCAGGTCTCTGAGGTGAACACTGTTGCTGTCCTACTCCACACAAGAGGACATAGGGACAGAGATGCACACAGCCCTCTGGCTCCAGGCCCAAGGTGTTCCCTGCTCAAACACACAAATGCACTAAGAGCCAGGCTGTGGTCCCAGGATATGACCACTCCCTTCCACCCACCCCCATCCCACCCCCGCCACTCTGACCCTAGCCTGTAGGTATCCTCTACTCTGGAAAGCCCCTAGAGTTCCTGGTCTCCCCTGAAAAGCTAGACCAGATAGAAGGCCAAGGGGCTAGGGGCCTCTGGGTTCTACCACAGAAGGCCTGTGGTCCTTGCTAGAATGTGAGGCTAGGACCCACACTACCAGGTGACTAAGTCAATCTGTCCGCTCACCTGACATGGGTGTGTACTGTGCAGCATCAGCAGCCCTAAGAGGCAGGGAGGCTTGCTAGCAGCCCGCACACACTGTGTTTTGTGAATGCTTGCAGGAGACCCAAGAATCTCGACACTCATACACAACCCCTGAACCCCAGTTAAGACCTCTGAACTCTGGCCAGGCGGTGGTAGCGCACACTTTAATCCCAGCACTAGGGAGACAGAGCCAGTGAGTTCAAGGCCAGCCTGGTCTGGTCTACAGAGGGAGCTCCAGGACAGGCACCAAAACTACACAGAGAAACCCTGTCTCGAAAAAAAAGAAAAAAAAAAAAAAAAGAAAAAAGACCTCTGAGCTCTGTAACATACTTTCATCCCTACATTCATGAGAACCTGTAGCAGAGATGGGCAGAGACGGGAGAGGCAGCAATAAGGTAGGTATGGGGGCCATGGTGCCATACCATCACTAAGGGTTTCTCGCTGGCCAGGCTGTGTAGGTGGTTTGTCTACGAACCAGTTTTAACTCACACCCCTACACTAAAAGGGAGAAACCAACACTGGCCCCAGGAACGACTAGGGAAATGGGGCACTGAGAGGTGAACAGGAAGTGGCCAAGCTGGAATTCAAGGGCCGGCACTGGTGACCAATGGGAATGGGCCACAACAGCATGTTTTGGTGACTTGCTCCGGGGTCCTTGGCTTCTTTATCTCAAGCATGCCACTTTCTACTTAGAAATTCTTACCATATAGAAGTTGGAAAAATTCCTGGTCCTGTGTGAGTGTTGCCCACACAGCCTCTAAAAGAACAGGAAGTGTCAAAGAGGCAGGTTCTTCCGGGACCCCGCAGAGGGGGTTATTACTAAATGCTCCCTCCTATCCAGGGATCATGGAAGGGCCTTAAAGCATTTGCTCAGGAACAGCCAGGAATGCTGGTGAGGCCCAGCCCAGCAGCCTGGCTAAAATGGTTTACAACTTGCTCAAGCCTTCGGCAAGCTAGAGTGGACCCTGGTGGGCATGGGGGACCAGGCAGAGCAAGCTGAGCCCCCGTCTTGCAATTTCTTCAGGGCGAAAGAAAGACAGACCTCTTTCCTCTGAGGGGCGCCTCACCCAGCCGAGTGTGGCCCACACATCCACCCTCACAGAGACGGCAAGTCTGCGTGGTAGCCCAGATGGGCTGAACATGCACATGGGTGGGCATCCTGGGCAGGGGATGGAGGAGCCTACCCGGGGACCGAGGTCCACCACTGCTCACTAGACAGAGATATAAATAAAAGTTTTAAATAAGGCATTTGGATACCAAGAGATGTCTCTGCTGTCCTGCTTCAAGAAGATGGAGTGAGCAGAAGGTGCCTGCTATTGGCTAAGCAGTCCTGGGCTTTTAGGTCTCCTCCACATCTGAAGTAGGTCTGGTTTATGGTTGGGGAGCTAGAACTCAAGCCCCGCTGAGCTGCTCTGAGGACGCAGGAGCTCAGAGAGGGAGAATGTTGCACCCAGGGCAGGGAGGAATGCTGGGGCAAGACTCCAGACCTGGTTCTGGGAACCTGGGGACAGGCTGGGCCTGTTCACATTACCAGTGCTCATCTGACAATGCTAACTATCTTCTAGTCTGTAGGACGGGTCCAGGGAATTCTGAGTAGGCTGGGACCCATGGTGTTTGTACACCAGTTCTACTTAGAGGTGAGGTGTAGCTACCACCTGCTCCCTGGCTGCTGGCTCAGGGTAGCTCCTGGCTCCGCACACAGCTTCCAGCCAGAAGAACAAACCCATACTGGTGGGCAGTTTTCCACCAGCCATGTTCTGCATGCAGTCTTCTTGGATGAGTTGCTGCAGATGGTAGCTTGAAAGCCAGCCCTGGTTGAGGGGCTCAGTGCATGGCTGCCCAGACGCGGGGCGGGGGCAGGGGGCGGGGCGCGGGGGGTGGGGTGGGGTGGAACAGGACTCAACTGCATGAGGCCGATTTCTCCTCCTGCTCCCAATGGCCACTCAGCCCGGTGTGCTCACCTCCACCTGTGGTCACTGCTTCTTGAGGCTCAGGGTCTGGGCAGGTCGGAGTTCCCGCACCACTGCCACCCAGCTCCATCTTGAGCTGGGGCCTCCAAACAGATCCCAGGGGTCCACAAAAAAAATGACTGACCCAACTTGAGTCCAAGAAACCCTGAATGTCAAGACAGTTTCTGGCAGATTGTGGTGGTGCACCCCTGTAATCCCAGTACTCTAAGAGAGGACCCAGAGCTCAGGGCTAGCCTGGGCTATATGGCAAAAACCTGACTCAAAATAAAGCAGTTTCTATTTCCACCCCAGAATGAGGTGTGCGGGGTAGAAGATGGGGCACCCCCACCCCACTTTCCATCATTCTCACATGGGAAAGCATCTGGGGCAAGATGTTCACTTTGAGGTGTGCGAAGGGTGGGGGGTGGGGTGGCGAGAAAAGTCACACAGGAAAAGCGTGGTAGGAAACGGCCAAGAAATGGGTTTCTCACTGCTGGTCCTGACGGGCTTGGTAGGGGTGTCACGGGGTGCAGTGTGCCCTGGGAGACCAATGTTCCCTTCCCCTCTCTGAATCTTTATGTGATCATGCTTAAGGAGTGGCTTGGCCAATGAGTCCCCTGTGGGCACCCTAGATGGGTGAGCTTCCCTCTGCAGCAAGGGGCAGAGCCAGGCCAGCCCCACCCCTGGGCTCCCGTTTCTCTCACACTGGTCCCTCTCTGGCAGTGAAATGCCAGGTCGGCTCAGTTTCCCTGGTCTGGAAGGCAACTTCACAAGCCTCACTGGGAGGCACAACCTTGCCCAGGCCTTGCCCTACAGCCACCAAGGGACAGGAACCACGTTCCCTAAACTAGAAGGGTCAGCCCCCACCATTCCATACCAGGGTATGGCTGCCCCACCCTTTCTCGACTTTGGCCCATCTGAATGGACCCTGGCCCATGTCCCAGAAGCCCCTGCCTGGCCGCCCACACGCCTGCCAGCCAGGGATTTCCCCTTCCGGCCTGGGAAAGCACAGGTGGGCAGGGGCAGGTCTGGGAGGGGGCCCGGGGGTTCCAACCAGGAAACAAAACTGAAAGGCTAAACCCAAGCCTCCAAGTCCAGCATGTGTCACATGCGACAGAGAAGCTCCACCAGGGGGTGTGGGGGTGTCTAAAGATGGCCGCAGCACAGGAGGAGGGGCAGGGGCCTTGTAAGTTTCACTTCACTTTAGGCCCTATCCTCCCGCCTCAGCTCTGCATCCGAGGCCTTGACCGGTGGAAGTGAGCAGCAGGAAGGCTTTAGATCCCCCAGAGCAGGGTCAGGAAGGGCTCCAGGAGCAACCCCTGCTGCGCCACATGTCACCCACTCCTACAGCCGGGCCAGCAGGCTCCACCTCACCTAACACCCTGCTGGAGGCTGAGAAGAGGTATGGAGCCGCCACCAGCCCAGCCCCTTCAGGAATCCAGTCTTTGTGGCACTGGGTCAGCCTTGGTTGACACATTTGGGTCATGGCTGCATGTTCAACAGGCCCCAAGAAATCTGCATAGAGGTAGGTCCGAAGCCAACAGCCACTGGGAAACCACACAGCCCATGGCCCAAATGGCTTTTAGGCTGGGGAAAGAGGGAGGGTACTGCCCCTGCCTGTACCCCCCAACACCTCAAACCACGTATCCTCACAAGGAAACGCAACAGCCAAAGGACAATGCCGCTGCCACCCAGCCAGAGCTCCCCACTGACTGACCCTTCCCACCAAAGCAAATAAAAGCGCCACAAACCAGGGAAGTTAGAAAAGTCTTTAAGTTTTTAAATTAAAATTGCACCCTGGTGAAATGTGATTTTAATTTAGGAATTCAATCCAAAGGCAGGCTCTCCCGAGCTGTCGTCCTCTGACACTGGACAGCGAGGCTGGGGACCTGTGGGACAGCCAGGACAGTAAGGGACGGGACAGCCAAGCATGCACTCAGAGGTCAGCCAACTCTTCAGTCCTATGGGCTTTGCCCACCCAGCTGGGGACAGGGTGATGAGTTTTAGGGCCACCGAGAGGCCACCAGCAGCAGAAAAGAAAACTCCATGTACCAGTGATGGGTAGCAAAGTCCAGGATCCCAACAGGACCCTTCTGGGACCTCCCGTGGAGGTGGGGGTGGGGCTTCCTAATGGCTGATGTGGCTTCTAAAGAAGGCAGCACCCTACCACCTGGCTGCAAGCTCACTTCATCAATGAGCACCCTTTGCTCTCCCCTAAATGGGCAGAGGATTTGAGGCCCTTCCCTTCTGACCCCAACACCCTAGTGTGCAGGCCCCACTCTCACATACATTAAATTTATATTCATATATATTATAGTTATATATTAAAAAGAGGAAAAAAACTTTCCCAAAAAACTCCTGAAGAACCCAAGTGGCTCAGGATGTTTACTGTCCCCCCCCCCATCCCACAAAAATTCTCTTATAAAATCTTCCAGTGCGATCTTCAAGAAATCCCCCACCCTCTTGTGTGTGTCCCCCACCCCCCAAGCCCTCCTCTGTGTCCCCACAACCCTGGACTGCCCCCTGCTCCAGCCCAGTGCCAACCAGTCTCATCTCTGGCCATCCATTGCTGTCACGGCTTTCTGCTGGGCGCCCCCCTGGGATGCTCCAGGGGGCCACGTGGGCTGTGGGCAGTGGAGATGATGGAAGGAGTTGGGGGAAGAGGGTGGGATCCAGGGCGTCTGGTGGTTGGGTGGGGATGCGGCCCAGAAGGGGCCGAAGTTTGCAGGAGGGGAGCAAGCCACAGCTGTCATGGGGCTGTTGCTGTTCTGCAGGCCCTCAGAGGCTCGAAGCTTGGAGAACATGGCCAGTGCATCAGGGAAGTTAGGTGGTGTGGCAGGGGTGTTGCTGGGAGTACACATCTGTGGGGAGATAAAAAAAAAAAAAAAAAAAGGTGTGGGTGAGGGCTACCTGCAGGGTCCTGTGCCTCTAGCCCACAGGCAACTTCAATAGACCACCTGTCTCCCCCAGAGCCAAGGAAGAACAAGGGAGAGCAAAATCCAAGGGTGTTGCTCAGGTCTTGGAAACAGCACCAAGGGGCATGAGATGTCAATGGTTAATTCCAACTCAAAGCTAAGGTGTCGACGTGAAAGGACAAGGAGCAGCCCAGGACACCACTGCCCAGCTCCTTTCCTAGCTAGGGAGCCAGCTGGCTTCCTCCACAATCCACCCTCAGATGCCCCCAGGGTATTAGGCACCATGGAGCAGGCCAGGTGGAGGGTCTCCTGCCCATAACAGCCACAGAAAAGCTGCACTTTCTTGGGGTTCCCATTCATTCCCCATGTTCAGCCAACAGGTCTTGGACTCTGGCCCCCTCCACTCATATTTCCTACAAGTAGATCTGATTAGCTCAATTCTTCTTTCCGCATTACAAATGAGCAAACTGAGACCCAAGGGTTAAGTCACGACAGAACATGCACCCAAAGCAGACGCAAACTGTCCCAAGACTGCAGGGTCCCAGGTGTGCAGGTCCAGATGCTAAGAGCCTCTGCCCAGCTGCACTCCGCATTCAGGGTCAAGTGCCACTCGGGTCTGGGCTCCCAGCACAAACATGCAGTGGGCCATGCCAGCCCCAGATGCCAGCAGCACACTCCTCAGGGGGTAACAAGTGCCAGTGCCCAGCCCATGGACTGGGAACAGGTGGGTCTGAGCCCAAGACCTACATGAGCCGATTCTGACCTCAAAGCCTCTTCTCCCTTTCTCAGGAGGCCAGGGAGTCCTTTCAGCTTCTCCTAATTTTAGCACCACTGGCTCCTCCCCAAGGCACAGGGCACTGGGGATGGGGGTGGTGAGACACACAACAGGATGCTAGAATTTTATCACTCTAGTTAAAGCAAAGCCAGAAACTGAGGCAAGGACCCCACCTCACCCTGTTCATTGAGGCTGTGCCACATTAGCTCCTAGGGGACGTGGACCGTTGTCTGCTCCAAGGCCCCACAGGGAAGGCCAAAGGCCTCAGCCAGGTCTAGCCCCACCCAGACACTTCCCTCCTGCCATCAGGATTCCCTGCCCACCCCCCCATGACTTCTCCACAGCAGGAAACAATGAATGGGGGGTTGAGGGTGGAGGCCTGTTGCATCACAGCATCGTGACTGACTTCCCCAGTCCACCAAGCCAGAGGCCAGGTCTTTTCAACAGTCAACCTGCTCTGGAGAGCAGCTTGCAAGGTTGAGCCTGTGCCCATCGGCCCGAGTGAGCTCAGACATCCCTGGGCCTCTCTGCTTTGGTGAAAGCAGGGAGGGGTTTGAACTACATTTTCTAAAGCCCCTCCTGGAATCTCAAGTAATTCCGTGTCCCTAGCATGGCCAGGGTCCTCTTGCTTCCCACCTACAACTGCCCTCCTTGCCTCTCCCCCTCATACAACAGGGGACCCTTATCATTTATAATGCTTCCTCCAACTGTGGCCGGCAAGATGCAGGACAATCCTTTACCAGTTATGGCCACTTTGTGGTGACTGATCTTCAAAGATTTTATCTGAGACAGGATCTTGCTAGATAGCCCAGGCTGACCTAGAGTTCACAGCAATCCTCCTGCTTCAACCTCCCAAGTGCTAGGTTCCAATGTTTTTATTAAGTTTTCTAACTATTTTGTCTCAAAAACAGTACTGACTCCCAGCACAGGGCTGGTGTTTCCTACTGTGCGGTTGAAGCACCCAGCAGCATGTGTCCCTGATGGATGCATTGATTATGTCTGTGTTACAAAACCAGCCATCTCCCTAAGAGAAGCTTCCAAAGGGGATCAATCAATCTCTCTCTCTCTCTCTCTCTCTCTCTCTCTCTCTCTCTCTCTCTCTCTCTCTCTCACACACACACACACACACACACACACACACACACACACACACACACACACACACACGAATCTGCAGAGGTGGGGGAGGGGGAAAGGAACCAAACAGGACTCAAGTTCAAGCTGGAGAC